GAAGTAATGACCTGGAGTTGGGTCTTAGTTAATGGGAATGCCCAAGGCACTAAGTGTTAGGTTCTTAGAGGAATAAGGGATATTGTAATTAAAAATGTTTGATAAAAAGAAAGGAGATCTCAGAGTATTTTCAAAAACTGTGAAGGGTCAGAAATTTTACCCTACTTATATGCTAACAAGTAAGCCTGCTATAGTTTCAGGGATGCTTACATAAGAAACAAGACTCCTAGGTCAGAGACAAAGAACTCTTGTTATTCACAGTACAGCCAGCAGTGTGAGCTTCATGTTCATACTGCTTTCCCTTACCTTCCAACTCCCCCAGGGCAGTGCCAAGGTGAGTTCAGGTGTATGCTATGCACACAGTGGGTTTGTTTTACTGCTGAGGACCCCAGTTTTAAGGAACCCAAGTCTATTATAATGAAATGAAATGATCCCCCTGTAGGGAAATATAATCTATCCTCAAAACAAACAGACCTATCCTCTGCTCTGAAGGGAGACACTGTGTCTTTCAAGGCTGTTCACTATAAAAACAGTCTTGAAAAGATAGTCCAGAACAAAGGTCATCAATTCTTGTGCTCACAAAGTGCACAGAAATGTGAGAAACCCACAGAGAATTGCCTCTAAATAAGTTTGTGCAACCATTGGGGAATAGTCTTGCACAAAGGTGTACCAGAGATAGTTAATTTACCTAGTGATAATTTTAATCTGTTGTCATCTCCAAACTCTTCTGGGGAAATTAAGTCAACACAACACAGGTAATTGTTGATGATGAAAATTGAGATCAGCAGACATTCTGTATCCACTGAATGGCCAACACCGTTGGAAACATGAAATAGAAGGTACAATGCATGCCTTTCATTTTACCCAAATATATGTACTTCGCACAGAGCCCCACTGGACTGCATGCAGCCAGCCTACCTCCTTAATACTGTCTCTGATCTAATTTCAGGATGAAATGTTAGAAAGTTGCCTCTGAATTGTTACTTCCCAGACATGCCCATATATTACTGTAGGGCCTAAAAACAGTACCAATTTTTTTCTTTGATATTCTTCCACTGAGTAAAATATGTATTGTAAGAAAACACAGTTTCCTATGCAATTCAATAAAACTATTTTCCTTTTCAATGAGAAAAAGACACATTTTTCCCCAAGTTTGACCTCATGGACCAAAAAACAGAAAATAAAAACAGATACTTATTACAAATCACATCTAAGTAAGAATTAATGGTTCTATGAACTTGCAAATTCTAAGTGAATTGTCAGTCTCACACAATTCAATCACATACCAAATTCCACTGAAATTCCTTTAAAATGAAGGATGACATCTTTCAAATGATCATGTTGGCTTCCATTTTGTTTTAGGAAGAGTAACTGAAATATAAAACAGTTCTAAGGTATATTTATAAAACCTTCATACCTTCAGGTTAGGTATTTCATGAAAATCTCTCAACTCTTTTGAAAAGTTATGAAGCAAATGATAAAGTATGGTGGACTGAAACGTATATTTCTTTCCTTTAATACATCAGTGATATTTACAAAGACCTGGCCTTTTTTTTTTTAATAGAACCATCTAACACATGCCTTCTCAGCAGGAACAGTATCACCCCCAAGGGGATGAATATTGGTTCTTGGGGAGGTGGGCAGAGAAAAATCTTAGATATTACAATTGTCTCTGGCCTTCCAAAGGGCCATACTATATAAACAGATATGCAGTACATCTATTGTATTAAATTTTAATGGTGGGGGATTAGGAAAAAAGTGTCTAAAAAGGCTTCTCAGGGGGAGGGGGAAACTAATGAAAAAAAAGTGGTTTAGAAAAAGTGACCTAGCATACTATTTTGACGAGTGTTGTGTTCAGATGGCAACCATTAATTAAGTAAAGGGATTTATTTTTAATTCCTCTCTGTATCATATTTGTTCCATTTTTAGTATATACACAATATAATTACATTAAAGAATTTTAATGAAGTGGCATCCATGTGATTGTTATATTTTTTAATGTTTTAAAATTTAATAATTGCATATTATTTATGTAAAATCATAAATACATGCTGTTTTATAGTCTGTTTTTTTCACTTTTATACATATATTTATTTTTCTACATAGTCTTTATAATGACTATTTTTATAAGGATGAATGAAATTCAGTTATACTGTGGTTCTCTTCTGGTTGTATTTTTATATCTCTACAGATTCCTTTCATGTCTTCTGTGCAATTCTGCTTCTCCTGACGGCCTATTAAAAATTGGGGTCCTCAGGAGTTGCATCCTATAGTGTCTTCTCTTCTCATATAGTATATCAGGGTGATCTCACCCATCTTCCAACAGTACTCAAATCTTTAGCTTCAGCCCAGACTTCACTCCTGGGGTCCAGACTCATATTTCTAACTGCTCACTGGATAGCTCTACTTAAATATTCCTTTTTTTTAAAAAAAAAGATTTTATTTATTTATTTGACAGAGAGAGAGATAGCGAGAGCAGGAACACAAGCAGGTGGAGTGGGAGAGGGAGAAGCAGGCTTCCCGCCAAGCAGGGAACCCGACATGGGGCTCAATCCCAGGACCCTGAGATCATGACCTGAGCCAAAGGCAGACACTTAACGACTGAGCCACCCAGGCGCCCCTCTACTTAAATATTCCTAAAAAAATAATCATATTTTCTCATACCTGTTTATCCTTGATCATCTAGACTCCTTTCCTCACCCTTGACCTCACCCCTTCAGCCAGGTCTTATTAACTATATTAAGACCTTCAAAGTATCCACCCTCTCCATTCACTCTTCTATCCTTTTAGTTCGCTCCTTTATCTCTTAGACAGTTACACTACATTCCTAACCATTTCCCTGCCTTCTGTTACGCCATACTCTGAGTCATTCTCCACAGTGCTGTCCAATAAGTCTTTCTAAAATGAAAATCTAATCAAGTCGCTTCCTGTTGCTTATAGCTGTGTTTCCCAATACAGTAGGCACTAGCCACATATAGGTAATGAGCACTTGAAATGTAGCTAATCTGATGTAATTAGCTAAATGTAGCTAATAAAAACATGCTAGATTTCTGAGACTTAATCTGATAAAAAGACTAAAAAATAAATATTTTTGTATATATTGAGTTAAACATTTACTTAATATATGAAAATTGATTTCATCTGTTTTTAAATTTTTTTAAATGTGGCTACTAGGAAGTTTAAAATTACTTACACAGCTCACATTTTTGGCCTGCATTTTATATCTATTGGAGAGTGTTGACTTATAGGATAATGCTCAAACGCATATCATAGAATTATGATCTTTTATCATCTGGTCACCATATGCCTAGTCCATTTTGTCTTCTGTTAGCTGCATGCAAAGAGGGCTGGTCTTGGTGTCATATTGACCTGGGTTCCTACCTGGGCCCCTCCACATGCTAACTGTGTGATCTGGAACGAGATCCTTAAAGTCTAAGTTTCAGTATCCCCAGCTGAAAACAGAGATGATACCTATTTCAGTGTGTAGCTGGGTTAAAAGATACAACATATGTAAAGTGCTTACTGCCTAAAATTTCATTCTCCCAGGTACATTCTAACCGTACCAAACTACTTTCAGTTCCTCTTTTTTTCTATTGTAGAGAGCAGGTGATGGTTCAGATGTGTCTGCAGCTTTAATATTCCTAAATGCATAATCCCCTTTCCCTGGTTAGTCGCTGGGGTTCTACTTTCCTTTTATTTGTCCTGTTTTTACCAGATTTTGGACCTGAGAACCTCTCTGCTTCTCTTTGTTTTTTATTTAATATCATGTCCTAGAGAATTCATTTTAAAAGAACAAATGATTAATCTCAAGTCAAATAAAGGGCATAATCAAAAAAGGTTTTAGCTTGTTCTTGCCCTGTAAGAGAATATTTTTGTGTGTGTGATATGATACCCCATAGTCATTCTTTAAACAAAGTAGGATTTAAATTTAACTTTAAATAGCTCCCAGGTCAGTTTTTTCTCCCTCGCTCCTGCCTTCTTCTTCTCTTAACCCTTCTGCTTACAAATGTCTTCTACCCCAGACCCACACATTTAGCTACCACTCAAATTAGCCACTTAGTTAGGGTCCTTTTATTGTCAGCTAGGCCAGATGGGAAGATGCGTCTCAGCTCTCTGTGGATTATCCACAGTGTAGTAGAGTTTCTGGCAATAAATACCTTGAGACAAATGTTCTAACAAATCTTTAAAGTGTTTTTGATGGCCAGAATTTTCAAAGATAAGGGTAGGGTAAAATGTTTTAAATGCATTTGCATTAGGAATTTCCATGCACATCTTTTGAATACTCTGCTCATGGAATCTTAACAGTTCTTTCCCATAGGAAAAACTTAGAAACACAACAGCATTCTGAAAGGGATGATGAAAAAAAAATTAAAAAATAAAAGGGATGATGAGACTCTGGCTAATGTCTCTCAAATGTAAAATGTGGCTTTTCAAATGATGTGGTCACCTTTTCCTTCTACAGTGTCAGCATTCTGAAATGGGTAAAGGATATGGATTAGGTAGGAATAGAATGCAAATGTGTTTTTGCAAATAGTGTCTTTTGAGATAATCGCAGATGATGGTTGAATGCTGAAGGTATTAATACAATCAGTATTTAACCTTGTGTAACTCTGCTTCATCAAATCACACCCCGCACATTGATTGCATTAAGCCAGGTCATTGGTTTCTTCCTTAGGAATATTTTATAAGAATCTTAACAGGAAGGCAGCAGTAGCTGATCAGCTACTGTTTATTTGCATACTGAGCATGTCATCAATAATACAAAAGACAAGGTCCTTAAGTTGAAAGAACAGTGGGATTGGCATGAGTTTTGCTTAATGGTGCATAATAAGCAAAGTAGTCTGTGGTGCCAGAAACTGACAGGAACCATTATGTTTAAACAGATACACGTCTTTAATTTAGGGATATTATGTAAATCTGACAGGAGTTTTCCCCCTTTATTTTCCTGTAGTTTAACTTGAATTGCTCCAGAATTAATTCTGATTTCTCCCTCTCTCCAGAGGGTGATGAGACTGGTGTGATGGATAATCTTCTAGAAGCCCTACAATCAGGTGCAGCATTCCGAGACCGCAGAAAGCGGATTCCAAGGAATCCAGGTAAAACTCATTCCAGTTTGCATGGTATTATAAAATGTGAATGTTCGTAGCCAAATACCACCCCCAAAAAACCTTCCCCATGAATTTTTTTTAACAGTGGATCTCAGTTCATGTGTTAAAAAGTCTCAACATGCTTCTATGTCTATGTGATCACAAGTTTCACCTTGGCAAAGGTATCTTCAAATAACTGTAGACTTTGCAAAAAAATTTCAGAAATAAGGACTCCTGCTGTGTTTAATATTAAATATTTTAATTGTTGTTTTATGTGCATGTGGTTTGGGTGGAACATGGTTTATAAAACCATAAATGTAATTAAATCATTAAAAGTAATTGGCCCTAGGGATGTCACATTAGCTATTTACAGGTAAGGAAACTGAAATAATGCTTCTTTCTAGAGGTCATTTTGACTTTGTAATATAATCCATATTAATTCTCCATGTTAATGAAGAGAAGAGGGGCACAGTGGTATTAGAAAATTGTCTGTCTTCTCTGTTCATACGCTATGGCTGAGGTAAATAATAGTTCCTCTCAGAATAATCCAGGTAGCTGAGCTATCCACCTCCTTTAAGGAAATTTCTATATTTTTAGTTTATATCTTCTTCGAAGAAGAGGAAGAAATTAGGTATATTGATTTTAAAAGTCCTCTTCGGGCGCCTGGGTGGCTCAGTTGGTTAAGCGACTGCCTTCGGCTCAGGTCATGATCCTGGAGTCCCAGGATCGAGTCCCGCATCGGGCTCCCTGCTCGGCGGGGGGTCTGCTTCTCCCTCTGACCCTCCCCCCTCTCGTGTGCTTGCTCTCTCTCATTCTCTCTCTCTCAAATAAATAAATAAATAAAATCTTTAAAAAAAAAAAATAAAAGTCCTCTTCATGGGCTATGGAGCTATATGGGGTAGTAAATGAAAAAGGAGCATTAGTAGTAAACATGTAAGTTCTCCTTAATTTAGATTAATAAGATTTGCCTTGAATAGCCTACAATTCAAAAAATATTCTGTATTTGGACTGGAAACTAACGTATATCATCAGAATACAAAGTGGTAGCTCTTAAAACCATTGTACTCCAACAAAGCAGTGAAAGAAATGGAGCCCAGTACAGTTGTCCAGGAAAGCTTTTGGCAATGGTGAAATTCATGGCAGAAGACAATATAAGTTATATTCATCTTTTTTACATTTGGGTGAATTTTGATGGATATGAAGACATTGAAGATGGCCTACAAAAAGAGTAAAAGACTGGAGGAAAGAAAAGTAAAATCTCTATTTGTATATTCATATTAATTTTTTAAGGTAGTGCTGCAGAGCAGAATATTAGGAGCACTAGTAATCTGTAACTATGAAGCAGCCATTTCATCTACTCTCAGTCTTTATCTGTAAAATAAGAATGTTTTACCATGCTATCAGAGACCCCTTCCACCTCCTAAGGAAAACAGAAACCTTCACTGTTCTTTCTTGAACTATCAGAGTATTAACAGTGAAAAGCAAACTGAAATAATTTTTCTATCAATTCAGTTCTCTGTTAAGCAGCTGATAAATATAAGCATGTTATTCCATACCATAAAAGAACTGCCATCATCTTTCTAGGCTATTTATTTTTAAAATACATTTGCTAAGGCCCATGTTTGATTAGGCTCACATCTCATACTGACTCTAGAAAGACTGTACTGAGAAAGAGAGAGATCATCTAATAGGGTTTCTCTGAGTTTGGTACGCAAGGGAATATAGTGTCATCAACTGTGAAACACCAAGAATAGATTCACAAACTGCATAATTTCACAGTACTGATTCCAAGTAATCCAAACCGGGACCTCCTTTGGTTTGTAGCTGGAGTACCTCCATGAACACACAGGGTCAAAGATATCAGCCCAAGTAGTTCTGGCGGTCCTTCCAAGTGACAGCAGCCAATGCAAATGTCCAGCGGTAAAAAGAAACTAGAAGCAGACGGTGGCAATGATTGCTAAAGCATCTTGAGCATCAGAGTTCACGCGAGGGAGAGGGAGAGGCAGGCATAGAGTTGACAAGTCTGCCAAAAACTCTCCGATTTGCTTGCCTCTTTCTAGAAGCAACAGAACTGGGAATTTTCCCAGATTTCTTCCTTGTTTCTGACTTTCCTAACTAGATATCTTTTTCTGCTGGCCTCCTTTTGTTTTCACTTTCCTAGGTACCTTATTTGGTTCTTTTTCAATGCCCTATTGACTTTATATTGTTATACTTTACCTGTTCAACACCAGCATTCTTGCTTCTTTCAATAACCTCCACTTCAACATGATGAGATAGAAGCAGAAAAATCAAATTATAAAGAAGGCTATTTTTATCAAGTAAAGTAAAATAAGAGGGAATAGTCAAAAAATCTGAAATTGGAGTGAGCCACAAACAGCAAAGACGTACTGCTCTGCTTGCCATCTCCATTATCACTTACAGATGGAAATTCTGGTATGTAAAATACAGAGCTCTACAATTGTGCTTTTAATTGCAGTGTTTTCGATTCACTATTTAAACAAAATGAAGTGATGATTTATATTCTTCATTAGAAAATCAAAATGTTAGTAAATAGTATGATTAGTTGCCTAAATTATAAAACTTTCACATTGAGTCTATGTCCCCTCCCAGGATCTACCAAATTAGGCAACTCTGAGCTCCCAAATATTGCCTATAGCCCAAATACTGAGAGTGTTGTTTCAGCTAAGGGTCCCAAAAGACATTTCAAGGGAGACTATTATATAAGGAGTGCTATTGAAAAAAATATTGATAACTAGTATAGCACAGGCTTCAACCAGTCAGAATGTACACAGGCAATAAGTAGCCACTATGTAGTACTAATACATATGGGCTGAATATCAACCCAGATTACAAGCTTTGCTAATACCAAACTCAGAGATTAGGAAATGAGCCCCTAAACATTCATTAATTTATTGTACATCTGTTCTCTGAAAGGTACTATGCTACACATGAAGGAAAATGCAGAAATAATTATGATTTTTCTTAGTTACAAGACCCTTGTGTCTTGTGGGAAAGAGAAACGGTACAGAAAGACTACAGAATAAAGCAAAAAATAATAGGTATTATACAAGAGCTATTAATAATATACTTTGTGAGCTCAGAGGAAGGAAATATCATGTTTTATTGTATATATCAGAAAAAGAGTCATGGAAGAAAAGGTTTTGAAGGGTGAGTATGGATTTCAGCAGTTGGAATTGGAGGTAGGGATAGTAGGCAAATGAAATGTCATTAAGAAAAATACAGAAGTAAGAAAGTGCAAAGCATTTTGGGAGCATGGCAGATAGTCCACCTAGTAAGAAAATAGGCTATATGAAGTGTAGAAGTATGGAGAGAACTCTGGAAAAGTAGGTTGATGAGCACTGGGTGTTCTATGCAACTGATTAATCACTAAATTCTACCCCTGAAACTAATAATACACTATATGTTAACTAAATTGAATTAAAAAAAAAAATTTTTTTTAAGGATTTCATTTATTTGACAGAGAGAGAGGGAACACAAGCAAGGCGAGTAGGAGAGGGAGAAGCAGGCCTCCCGCGGAGCAGGGAGCCCAATGTGGGGCTCGATCCCAGGACCCTGGGATCATGACCTGAGCCGGAGGCAGACGCTTAACGACTGAGCCACCCAGGCGCCCCAATAAATTTTTTTTTTAAAAAGTAGGTTGATGCCACATCATAGAGTGCTTGAATAAGAGACTAAGGTGTTAGCATATAATTCTTTAGGCAATGGGGAACTATTGAAGGTTTTTAAGCAGTGGAGGAACATGATCAAAGCTATATATTAAGACATTTAATCTACAGGAGTGTGAATGATGAATTAGGATTCTTCTGTCATATTCTTAGTGAAAAGAGATAATTTAGGTGAAGAGGAAGAGGAGTAGCCAGGAGTCAAAGATAATCCCAGGGTTTTGAATTTGATTAGCTAGAAAGATAGTTGGGTTATTAGAGAAAACTATTAAGAGCAGGAAAAGGAGTAGTGATGGAAGATAAAGTAAGTTTTGGGAAAGTGAAACTGAAAGTGGCAGCAGAGCATTGAGGTCAAGATGTCCAGAAGTTTCTTAAAAGGATAGGTGTAGATTTCATCACAAGATGGTTGAGTTTGTAAGATTTCTGGGTGTAGTATGGAAATGGAAGGGATTATTAGAGTGATTCTTCAGATAAAAGAGATCCAAAAACAGAACTTTGAAAATGCTTTCACTTAGGGGCTAAAAGTAAAACTAGCAAAGAAGATAGACAAGGAGTAGTTGGACAGGTGGGAGGAGAATCAAAACATTGTTCTAGGAGCAAAGGAAGAGGAAAGTATTAAGAAGGCAGAAAAGGTGGGCATTTTCAACAATGACATCTGCTGTGGTAAAATCAAAAAGGATAAAGACCAATGGTTTGCCATATGGGAGTTTTCTATCAACTTTTTAAGAGCATCTTTTCAGTATTTGGATGGAACTGGGAGCCAGAATGCAGGAACCAAGCAGTGAGTAGATTGTGAGGTTGCAGGGATTGATAGTATTAATTCAACAATTGAACAATTTTATTGAATGCTTCCTGGATGTCATGTACTGGTTCAGGTACATGTACCACCAATCAGGACACTTGCCTCAAGGGGCTTACATACCTTTTGGGAAAACAGGAATGTAAGCCATGTGATAAAATTGCAATGTGATTTTATATGTGTCGTAATGAGATAGGAAACATGTGCTTGTACAGCACGGGAGTTTGAGTAACTTTCCCCACCCCTTCACCTCTCACCTATTCATTCATCCCTAGAATATGGACTATGCTTTCTAACAGTTTGGTGGGTGAAAGGAACATCTCACTTTTCCTTAATAACCTAGTATGGATTTACCACCTATGAATTTTGCTGAATCCTTCTGGACCCTCTTTGTGACAGCCTTTTTAGCTCTCAAAGTAATAAGTTCCGTATGTTTACAATTCACTTTGGAAAGAATTACCCATAAGTATTCCTGACTTTGTCATTATAAGATCAAAGGTAAGCTTTGGAAGAAAAAGAAACACATG